TTGACGACGCACCACTTGCGTGGCGCAAAACAATCGTCGGATATCTCAGGACGAAAGGTTTCACTCGCAGCCTCCTGGAACCGTGCTGGTGGATGAGATACGCCCCCGACGGCACCCTCCTCAATATGGTGCTGCTAGAGGTGGACGATTTCTTCATCTCCAGCAACTCCCAGGAGTCCCGGGCCTGGATCAGAGACACGCTCACCTCCAGGTTTCGCTTCGGCAAGTATCGGGACTGTCACGCCGGGGCCGTCGAGTACGCCGGTAGGAGCGTCACCATCGGGCCTCAGAAGACGACAGTGGACCAGGAAAAGTACATCCTGGAGGAAGTGCGAGCGATCAGTCTTGAGCGTGGGCGTCTTGGACAGAAGGACTCCCCCCTCACTCAGCCAGAGTTCAAGGCCCTTCGGTCCCTCATTTACAAGCTGAACTGGGTCGGGCGGGAATCCAGACCGGAGGCCGCAGGAACGGCCAGCATTTTGGCGAGTCGCCTGAAAGCGGCCACTACCCGGGACGTGGCCGTCGCCAACAAAATGGTGAGGTACCTTCGGTCCACGGCCTCGAGGGGCTTGACGATCTGGCGTCTCGATCCCGAGAAAATGGCGTTTGTGTCTTTTTCCGATGCGGGGGGAGTCGGGGCCCATGAGGGCCTCCTGGACGATCAAGGTCTGCCCGCCGATCCCACGCAAGGGGCCTGGATGGTTTTGGCGACAGACAGAAGCGTGATTGATAACTGCGCTGTGAGAGCGTCCACCCTGGGTTGGAGGAGCTCTAAGCTCCGCCGTAAGGTTACATCCACCCTCGCAGGCGAGACCCAGGCACTGGCACAGGCCGTGTCTGAGGTCGAATTTCTTCAAGTACTTTATCGCGATGTAGTTTTTGGAGATGTCGACGTCTCGGACATGTCTCGATGCTCCGGGCCTTTTACTACGGTCCTGCGTCGGGACTGTCGACTTGGAGGAAGGGAGGACCAGGTCCACGTGGTGGACGCGAAGAGTATATATGACACCATGTTAAAAGAGGGAAATGCCAGCGCACGTGACAGGAGGACCGCTTTGGATTTGGCAGCCGTGTGTCAAGCTCTGGAAGGAGCTAGGGGCCACATCAGGTGGGTTCCTCACGCCCGTATGCCAGTAGACAGTCTGACTAAAGACGACATTAGCAAGGGAAATGCCGCCCTAGGCAGTCTGCTCGCCACCGGCCGTTTGGTCCTCGTGGACGAGGACGGAGAGATGTCTCGTCGCAAGCACGACCCCGGCAGCAAGGATCGATCCCACGCAGCGTCCAAGAGAACGCTGACCCAGGACTCTCGACTCATCTCGTGGGAGGACTTCCAGTCGAGCTACGCAGTGTCGGAGTCCGGGGATCCAGGATCCTCCTCCTCTCTCTCCCTCTCTCCTTCTCCCTGAGCACTGACTTATTTGTATAGCTACTGTTTTGCCTATAGGGGATGCTAAACCTAGGAGAAAGTTTCACCCATGTGATAGGTGTCCTTTGATAGGTTTAGCATATTGATCTTTCTTGTATAGCCCAGCATTCCAGCTCACGGGGCAGCCAGGATTGTCCGCTATGACACTCAGGGAAGGTTGTACTGTACTTCGTCGTTCTGGCTCAAGGCCAAAAGTACATCTGTTCATCCTGCTGCTGCCACAGCGCCCTCGCGCCGCCCCCGTGGAGAAGGACCACCGCTCTGGCCCAGACCGCGACGCGCGAAGCGTGATTGTTTTGCGCAGCTGGTGACCTAGACGTATCCATATCCACGCCCTCGAGGTCTGGACTCAGGGGCACGATCCCTCCGTCAGATTGGGCCCCAGGGAGGCAAAAACAAACAAGCATCTGGGCAGGGTGTGTTCCTCCCTGGGGCGCCCTGGGATAGAGCGTTAGCACACGACCAGTCATGCACAGCACTCTTCGTCTGCTGCCAATCCACTCCGCGCGCATGATGCCCGCTTGTCGGGCGTTGCTTTGGAAGGGAGGGGGCGCAACAGACGGGGGGGGGAAGGTGCACATTTCGTGCACATTCTTGATGGGGCGGGCATTACAAGCGGCGGCCCAGCAGGGCCCCATTCCTGCAACCCTCGATTACCCCTTGCCCCGTTTCTCTCGCCCCCGACGCTTGCTGTGCGCAGCCATCCCGACTGTCCCGGGGAGAGGCAGGCGTGCTGGCTGAAAAGCCACGCTGCGAGGGGCAGAGGGGCAACGTGACAGGAGGAGGGGGGGGGAGCAAGCAGGGCGCGCTCCAGCCATATCCGACATCCTACCCCTTCCACACAGCCCTTCCCGTTGCGCTGAGTTCTCTCTATGCGCCGACGGGTGTCACGACGGGTGTCTGCAGAGGGCCCCATCGTGGCATGCGCAATGTGACTGCCTGTCGTAGTGGATGAGCATCTTCATCAGCAGGATAATCTCAGCCACATTCGGTGCCTGCTGCAAGCTAATAGCAAACAGCTGGGTCTGCAGCTGGACCTGGTCTGGCCCGTTTCCCTTGAGCGCCTCGAGCCGGATCGAGGCCGTCTCCTGGAGCCGATTCTACTCCATGAACACCTCGACGACCATGCTGATTTCGATCAGGGGCCCGATCTCCCCCGTCAGCTTGCCGTACTCGAGCTTGCCGTCAGGCGGGCTCCAGGGCGTTCGGCTTGCCGTGCTCGAGCTTGCCAGGCGGGCTCTGGCCTCTTGGCCGTCGGCAAGGCCGCACGAGACGCGGGCTGCTGCCACCAGGGGCCGCCGACGCGGCGAGGGGCGTGGTGGGGTCCTCCCCCTCGCGCGCCCCCCATGGCGGCGCCGCGCTGCCGCCGCCCGCCGTGGGTCCCCGCGGCCCCCACCCCGAGCGGGCAACGGCTCCAGGCGGGTGCCCGCCTCCCCCCAAGAGGAGGAGTCCCGCCACCACCGGCACGACGCCGCGCATCAGGAGCGTCGCCATGGTCGAGTTCAGGGGCTGAGCCCCTTCGCACAAAGCATGCAGTTTGCTCAAAGCCAGACGGCTGCAGAAAGGAGGAGAAGAGAGGACAGAAACGAGGAGGCCAGTGGGAAATCTTGAAACAAAAGAAGAACCGCCCGAGCAATGACATGTTGAGCACCATCAGCACCATCACCATCATTGTCACAAGTGTCAGCAGCATGGTCACGTGGCGAATCTAATCCTCACACCAACCATCATCATAGTCATCATCGCCAACATCAGTAACATCACCACCATCATCATCATGGACATCGTCATCGTCAGCATCTTAATGCTGTTGTCGCCATCCCCGCCACCACAACAATTATCAGCAGCGGCACCATTCCTGCCGTTGGAACGCCCACTGGAACGCCCGTCGTGAGAGCGCGCTCCTCACCAACCATCCACATTGACAGTATGCCGTTATGCTTCCTGACGATGCTCGAACCTTTGCCACCATCCCGGGCAAGAAAAAAAACATGGTCCCTCGTACGGCATGTCCTTTTCACCCGTGTACCTACTCAGGGGCGCCCGCATCTGCCCTTTACAAATGTATGTCCGTCTTCTCTCTCTCTCTCTCTCTCTCTCTCTCTCCCTCTCTCTCTCTCTTTCTCTCTCTCTCTCTCTCTCGTTCCTGTCCTCCGCCTCCTCCTCCTTATCCTCCTCCTCCTCCTCCTCCTCCTTCTCCTCCTCATCATCACCACCACCACCACAACCCACCGTCATCATCATCATCAGCATCATCATCAGCAGCATCCGCAGCATCATCATCAGCATCATCATCAGCATCATCATCAGCAGCAGCATCATCCGCATCATCCTCATAACCATCATCTTCATAATCAGCATCAGCATCAGCATCAGCATCAGTAATAGCATGCTTACCATGATCATCAACGGCAGCATCAGACGCATCAATTGCTAAAGCAATACAGTCATCAACAACAGCATCAACAGCATCAGCAACAGCATCATCACCTACAGCATCGAACTTGTCAGACATATCCGCAACATCATCAGCAACCTCATCACCATCGTCATCATCATACGATGACGACTACCATCACCATCACCGTCACCACCACTGCCAACATCATCAGCCTCAGCAGAATCATAACCTTCATCAGCATCAGCAGAAGTATCAGCAACACAAGCATCATCATCAACAGCATCATCAAAGACAACATCAAACTCGTGATCATCAGCATACGTAGCATCAGCATCAACAGCACGATCGTCGTCAACACCAGCATCATCATCGTCAGCATCATTATCACCATCAGCATCATCATCAGCAGCATCATCACCACCATCATCATCAGCAGCAACATCCCCATGGTGATGACACTCATCACCATCACCACCACCACCGCCATCAAAATCAGCACCATCATCATCATCATCATCATCATCATCATCGTCATCATCATCATCATCGTCATCATCATCATCAGCATCATCATCATCATCATCAGCATCATCATATTCAGTATCATCATCAGCAGCAGCATCGTCATACTCAAAAGCACCATCAAGACCAGTATTGTCGTCGACAACATCGTCATCCTAACCATCATCAGCATCACCGCCATCGTTACCAGCAGTATAATCACAATCTATTTTCACAATCTGCACTATCAGCAGCAGGCTCATCATCATCATGAACATCAGCACCACCATCATTCACCAATCAGCATCACCATCGTCAGCATCAGCATCAGCATCAGCATCATATTGATACTCAGATTGAACTTCCTCTCCATCGTCATCTGCGTCGTCATCATCCTATTCGTCGTCACCCTCTTCTTCCATGTACGTTAGACCGACTTTGACCACTGGCCCTTGATATACGCATACCCGACATGTTCCTCATCTTCCACGTCCCCCCTCTTCCACCCCCCTCCTCCTCCTCCTCCTCCTCAAAATGGCCCTTTTCCTCCTCCTCCTCCTCCTCCTCCTCCTCCTCCTGCTCCTCCTCCTACTGGGACCCACATCGGGCCTTTCGCCGCCGCCAACCCGCCGCCGTCCCCGTCGACAGCGGCAGGCCCCCACGCTGCTCCTCGAACTTGTCGTTGATAAACACGCGCTTCACGTACAGCCGCATAGCCCGGCCGCCCTCCGAGAACATGTCCTGAGGGCGCGCCCTTTGTTTTCAAGAACTGTTGGTTCGAGCGACGCCCTCCAAAGTACGTGAGGCGGGATACCCAGGGAACACCGGGATCCTTTAGGCCTGGCGGCCGCGATGTGCAGGGTTTGCGAGGTGGGCCAGGAGCGCTCGTCTCTTAAAACAGAATCGCCCCAACATGTCGGGTGGGGAAACTGTGAAAACACAAGCCGACGGAAGTCCGCGCGGATGTCTTGGACCAGCGCTGGACGGTGGAGGATGGGCGCAGGATAATCAGGACGGCCCGGAGAGTCCGAGGACGAAAGGGCAAGCGCGCAGTTATTCTGTACCCATTGCTCGGCTCTTGATTGTAGATCGCAGTGTGCCGCCGGGTAACGGCGCGCACGAGGGGCTCGGGCGAGGGGGATGACATTCTGAGAAGGCGGTGGGCCTTCCGAGCCCCTCTTTTGAGGAGCCCCCGAGCCCTCCTGGAAGCGCCACTCCTTGGAATATTGTTTCTCGCACCTCTACTCCGCAGGCGGTAAACCGATTGCTCTGAGAATATGTGCCCAACCTTGTCGCATTCTAGGCATAGGCGAGGCTGCGGCCATCGGAGGCCGAGCGCAGAGAGAACTCAGAGGGAGAGGGGAAAAGTCAAAGGAGAAGGCGATGGACAAGAGCCTTAGAAGGCCTTGTCTGCGCCGCCATTCCCAGCCCAGCGGGAGACCACACACCAACCGTGTAACGGCTGCACACACGGTGACACTTCTGGTCATGCAACCCTCGGAAATCTAAAGCGGAAACCTAATGTAGAAAAGGAGACCCCATCCATGCGTCTAGCCATTACATCTGTTCAACTGTATGGCATGGCCTTCAGGTGTGAGGAAACTTTCAGCGAGAGCCACACTTTGAACAGGAAAGGGGATCCTCAATCCTTGTTATTGAAGCGAGAGCCACATTCTGGCAACTGCTATACATTCGTAAGACGGGTGTGAGCGGCACGAAGGCGAAAGCCCAAGTTTCAAAACCACCAACCCATCCATCCTTGTAACGACTGCGAGCTTTGAAGACGAGCGTGCGTGTCACCGAGGCGATAGCCCCATTGTCAATACCACATCCATCCCTCCAACTGCTGCAAAATTCACCTTGTGCTGCCGAGATTAATGCCAAAAGGTAATAAAGTTCAGGGTTGCAGGGGATTATACATGTTGCCTACCGGAGGCCAGCATGTGGGAGGGGAAAGAGATGATGTTAAGAGGACCGAAAGCCGAGAATCGAGGATCGAGAATCGAAGTCCGAGGATCGAGGATCGAGGATCGAGATCGCAGAGAGTGAGAGAAGGAGACACAGCCAGACAGAGAGAGAGGAGGAGGAGGAGGAGGAGGAGGAGGAGGAGGAGGAGGACGGAGGAGGAAGAGGAGGAGGAGGAGGAGAAGAAGGAGGAGGAAGAGGAGGGAGGAGGACGAAGAGGAGGAAGAGGAGGAGAAAGAGGAGGAGGACAAAATCCAAAGTTCCAAACCTATTGAATCTCATTTGCAAACGAACAATGGAAATCTGGATTTTCATCTGCTCGTGTAGGGAAGATCATGTGCCTCGGTTTCTATGGATAGTAAACCACAGCGATCGCGCCCCTGACCAAACTCTTGTTGGCCGTAGATAATCAAGTCTAGCGTGTTAAGTGGGGGGGTCCTTCTTTATCATCGGCACACGGTTATGATGTGAGTTTGCGCGGCGCTCTGGCGGTAGCCCCATCTTGAAAACCACCACCCCTTCAATCTAGCCAACTATTCCCCGTGTGTCCGGGGCATAAACGGTGAGGAAGTCTCAGGCGAAACGCCCAGCCCCCCCTACCAGACCCCCTGGGGGGAGGAAGGAATGGAGGGATGGACATGGAGAGGCACGCCCCGCAAAGCCCCGATCCCTTGTGAGCTCGAACGGCATGGTGCTTGGAATGAACATGAGCGCGCGGAACTCGATCTGGCCCTCCACCTGGAGGCCGAGCAGAGAGCAGGGAGGGGCGGAAGCAAAATCGGTCAACATCGAATCGGAAACCGGCTCGATTCGGAACTCGCATAGGATCGGGATGCATCGTCGCGGAGTGAGAAATGAGATCGGCTCAACTGTGCCAGGATGAACAACAGCGCCACACAAACTCGTCGAAAGATCGCAATCGAGTCAGATCGGGCCGGCCGGAATCGATGTCGGATCGGACCGATCGGATCGAAGTAGGCCCTGACCGTTCGGGAACGCTCTCGGCGAAGCACAGATGTCGGAGCGCATCCCGAGGCAGAAAGACAGAAGCCGACGAAAAAGTCCACAAGCCCGATCTTGGGAGCCAGCGAACACCGAGTCACCTGTCGTGCCTCGCGCGCCCGCAATGCGCGCGGCACCGCGGCCATCCTCCCGTGAGGAGGAACGTCCAGGGGGGGGAACATCGACCTGAAATCGGCGATACGTCGCCGAAAGATCGGCGATGGGCCCCCTGCATCGAATCCCATCACTCCTGCGCAGGATGGGCACCAGGCCCCGATGGGCGATGGACGGGCGACTGAGGGTCAGTGCATCTCCCGCTTGATCCTCGCCCCCCCCCTGACGTTGCCTCTGACTCGCGCGCCCGCGTGGCGCGCGGCGCCGCGGTCACCCTCCCGCCCTCGCGCCTGCCGCCCTGGAGAGGGGCACCTCTGCGACCCTGGGCCGCGGGGCGCAGAGAGGCGACCCCATCTTCGCGGCTTCGCGGGCGACCTGGAGGAAAAAAGACGAGATCGGCGGTTCAACGATGGGGCTCTGAGAGATGTGCCTGAGGGCGAGAGGCCTCAAACAATGCAAATTCAACCTGGGATCCTCTCTTGTCCAGAGGGCCTCGTCCCTCAGGGCCCCAATTGTGAACCGCCGAAAGTAAAAGGAAAGGGCAAGGAGAGGGGGAGGAGGGAGGGGGATCGATCGCCCCCCTGTTCCTTGGTCCTTGGGGGACGGAGAGAGGAGGGGACAAGGGAGGAGGAGGGGGAGAAGCACACGGCGCAGGGCGGGGTATGAGGCGGAGGAAGGGCGAAGAGGAGGAAGCACCGCTCCCCCGATGGAGATGAGGGAGATGGCTCCTCCACGTCCGCGCCTACTTCTGGAGGCCCCTCGGGGCCTCACCAAACTCTCGGAGGCCTCTGGAGGCCTCCGGAGACCCACCAGGAACCAAAAACGTCCACAACCTCCTTCTCCTCCTCCTCCTCCTCCTACTCCTCCTCCTACTCCTCCTCCGTTTCGTCTTCCTGCGCGACTCAACGCTCCACGAAGAGCAACCGCCTCTTCGCACTCACCCACCCGTGCCGCCAAAGCGTCGGAGCGGCCAGGGAGGGTATCGATATGGCGGGCGGAGGTCGGCGAACGTCAGCTAGACGCCTTTTGTGCAGACGTAGCCCGACATCTGGCCAGGGGGGGAACATCGAGCTGGAATTGGCGATACATCGCCGATTGATCTGCGATGGGCCCCAGATAGGGAAACCACACGGTCCTGGGCCAGGTGGGGCCATCCCGCCGCGGTCGGCGATCCGTGAGCCAGTGGGGATCGACGCGTTTCCCCCATGAGCCTCTTCCCCCCCTCAGCGTTGCCCCGGGGCTCCTGCTCCCGTCCTCTTCCTCAGCATCCTCGTCGACGACGACGAAGACGCGGCGGGCAGGGGCCCTGGGAAGGGGACGGGTTGTACACCACGTCGCCTGGTCGGCTACGGAGCTCCGTGTAAAGATGCCCCAGCTGCCCAATCTGCAACCTGTGGGGCGCTGGAGCGTCTATGCACCGAACTCCTTCGACGAACTCCTTGGCTCCCTGGCCGACCAAACGACGTGGTGTATACGCCCAGCCCCTCCGAGGCCCTCTCCGCTGGGCAGCCGCAGCGAGGAGCCCGGCGCCTTGAAGTGCGTCGTCGTCAGGGGCTCGTCGAACGCCTGCACGCGCATCGCGGCGCGCGGGCTCGCTGGCCAGCAAGGAGGCTGCATGTGGGCAGGGAAGCGCGGGGCGGTTTGATGTGGTGATCGCGATGGAAGCCATGGCGGCAATGAACGCAATGGACGCAATGGACGCGATGGAACGGCAGGAACGCCATGGACGCGGTGGACGCGATGGTCGCGGGCTCGCAAGATAGGAAGGGGGAAATCCGACATACGACACCGTGCAACGCCGGCCGATCTCAGGCAGCTGGTGGATTCGCAACAAGGATGACTCTTGGCCAATGCGTCCTGGCGACGTGCGGCTGTATTGGAGGAGCCGCCGCAAAACTAGAGATCAGCAAAGGAAAGGGGAAGAGGGACGACGACGGGATGTGCGAGAATCGCGTCCATGCGCCGCACCTCAGAAAACAACACCTGGGAGAACTTCGCGAGGACGAATTCAGGGCCACTGAGCCCGAACCCAGGCAGGGTGGCAGGATGGGCCGAACGCTACTAGATCCGCCGCCCCCTGTTGGCTTCCCACAGGGGTGCCCGGCGTGCTAGGTCTTTTCGATGTTGGTTATGGTTCTTTTCCCAAAGAACTACTCCCCCTGGGGCTTCGGCCGATCCCGCCAGGTTCCCGGAATGGCCCCGAAACCACCTCAACGACCGGAAAATCGCCAAGACGGCTCAAGATGGCCATTATGATGGTCGCGTTGACCCAAGATGGCCTCCAAGATGGCCCAAGATGGCCTCCACGTCGCCAAAGATGGTCCAAGATGGCTTCCAAGACGGCCTGAGAGGGTCCAAGGCCGGTCGCAGGCTGCCTCCTGATGCGGGCCGGGGGCGGCGCCCGAGACGCCGCCAGGGGGGGGCCCAGCGAGGACCACCGAGGAGTGACACCTGTGTCGCAGTGTTCTTCTTCGAACTGCGTCACCCCTGGGGAAATGTTGCAGACAGCTCAGGCCCTCAATTCGACCAACCGACCAATGTAGTATCGTGGCCGACCGAGATGAGTCGCTTCGTCCAAAAGATCTTGCAAACACGGCCTGACACTTCCCTCGCCTGTCACGCGCGGCACCGCGCACAAGATGGGGCGGCGCGCCTTGAAAGTGGTCTTGTAGAACTCCGTGTACTCAGACTGGTTGACCACCTGCGTCGGGGGTTGCTAAAGGTGTCCCTGGCTCAAAGTGTCGTAGCCTCTCACTCCGTCTTGGAATCCCTGGGCCCCCATGGGCCTCTTAAGGAGCGCCATGGAGGCCCTGCGGGTTCTCCTTGAGGAAGAAGTCCTGGGAACACCGTGGGCCAAGAACGCTTCTGGCAACACACGACTTCGCACTCCTGGGGAGGAACGAAAGGGGGGGATAGCAAAGGGTAGGGTAGAGAATCGGCTCCCGTAGCTGCTTTTCCCAGCGCCTCCCGGCGCCGGGAGGCGCCCATGTATCGAGCAATGGGCCCGAAACCGGCTGCATGTAGCAGATTTCGTACCCCTCCCTTTCTCGATGCCCCCCCTTCGTTCGGCCCGAACTCCTGCCCGCTCCCTCACTGAACGTCTCTGGGGATCTCCAGAGGCTCCAGAAGCCTCCAGAGGCCTCCACAGGCCCGAGGGGGCAGCAGCTGCCGAGCATCAGCTCCGGCGAGGGGCACAGCCCTGTGGCAGCTTTGTTCTTTACGCACGGCCGTGCGAGGGATGTGCCGAATTGAGTTTGGCGGGAAGGCCAGGGGAGGGAAAGTGAGAAGTGGCGGGCCTTCTTAGCAGGCTTGGAAATTATCTGGCCTTTGATAAGCGTTCTAGGCCTTCTCCGAAGGCACGGAGAGCTGCTGAAAGGCGCGAGGGCTTCTGAGAAGAAGCTCTGACCACAACGAAGGCCAATTGGGACGCATGCAAACATTCCAGCTGGAGCCGTGTGGAGCTCACTGCGGGGCGCGAAGCGCGTGAGCTGTACGCCGAAATGCGCGGGCAAGCGCATGCAGAGTATCCCACTGGGGTCGTGGATGGGGCTCGTGTGTAGGGTGTGCCGAAACGGGTGAAGTATGCATGCAACCCTTTCCACTGACTGAGAACGTATGTGGAGCTCCCATATGAGACCCCGAATCTTGTGCGATTTGCGCTGAAATAGGAGGCGTCGCAGTGCGGATCCCCCCAGTGGGCCGTACGTGGAGCTCCGTGTGCAGTCAAGCTGCTAGCACAAGGAGCGCCGAAGTGGGAACGAAGCCTCTCGTTGGCCCAGACCCACATTACTCATGATTGACCAGAGTGTCTTCACTATATGGCCGCGATCCTCACGGGGGGTTTGCCATTTCCCCATGCTGGCCGGGCTACATGGACTGGAAGTGCAGCTCTCCATGTGGCCACGATCCTCGTACTGGGCGTGCCGAAATGGACGGCACCGCCATGCGGACCCTCCCACTCAGGCTGAACATGAAGCCCCCAAGCTGGGCCTCGATCCTCGTGAGAGGTGCACTGACATAAGTAGGCTGCACCACCATGCGGACACTATCAATGGGGCCGTAGCTGAAGCTCCCTTTCGGGCCACGATCCTTGTTAAAAGTGCGCCGACATGGGCAGCATCGCCATGATGGCCCTCCCGCGGAGGCCGTAGGTAGAGCTCCCTGCGGGGCCACGTTCCCCGTGACGGGACAACAGCACAATTACCACAAACACCAGCAGCAGCAGAATCGACATCAGAGGCGACATCATCGCTCACAGCAGCATTGTCACCAGCAGCATTATCATCATCAACATCATCATGATCAGTATCAGTATCAGTATCAGTATCAGTATCATCATCATCATCATCATGATCATCATCATCAGCATCATCATCATCATCATCATCATCAGCAGCAGCAGCAGCAGCAGCAGGAGCAGCGGCATCATCAGCACCATCATCATCAGCATCAACCTCAGCATCAGCATCAGCATCATCATCGCCAGCAGCAGCAGCGGAATCACCATCCGCATCATAATAAACGTCACAATTGTCGTCAGAATCTGCATCATCATCAGCATCGTCGTAATCAGCACCATCATGATCAAGGCAGCACATGCCGCATCATCAGCATCAGCAGCAGCAATAGGCAGCAGCATTATCAGCATCATCAGCAGCCGCATCATCATCCTGATACTAGTCCTCATCATCATCGTCATCGTCATCATCGTCATCACCAGAATCATCATAATCATCATCAGCAGCAGCATTATCACAATGTTCTTCATCTTCCTGGGTTCAGTCAACCGAAAGTGGGCGCCTCCGGGTTGCGCAACCAGATGGGCTTCATCTTGTTCATGACCTGCTGCGCGCCGCGTGTCTCATATCCTCCCCCTCCACATTAGAAGTATGCATCACTGCGTGTTCGTCCACCCTCTTCCTCAGTCCCGTATCTAGTTTGATTGGTCCTCGCTCCTCAGCCTTAGCCTCCTCCTCCTAATCTTCCTCCTCGTCCTCTTCCTCACTTTCCGTCTTCAATCCCCAATGCCTTCTTCCTACCTCATACGACCACGCAGATCCTCGTCCCGCCTCGATCCACACCCCCTACTCCCTACTCCCACCTCCCTCCTTGCCCCTCGCACGTCGCTTCTTCCCGCACATTGCCCATACGCCTCCTCATGCTCATCACCTCCTCTCCCTTCTCATCATCCTGCCCCTCCTCCTCCTCCTCCTCTTCCTCCTCCTCCACGCCAAAATGGTCATCATTATCATCAGCAGCATCAGCATCAGTAGCATCATCAGCATCAACATCTGCATCAACATCATCATCATCATCAGCAGCATCAGTATCCGCACCTTAAGGACCATCACATCAATCAACCTAATCAGACGCAGCCGCATCAGCATCATCAGCATCACCATCAGCATCATCATCAGCAGCAGCATCAGCATAAGCATAATCGGCATCATCGTCAGCAACAGCATCCGGATCATCATCACATATCATCATCACACCATCATCATCAACATCATCATGGTCATCATCATCCGCATCATAATCATCATCAACATCAGCATCACCATCATCATCAGAAGCAGCACCATCAAATGTATCATCGTGGTCGCCATCGGCAGCACCATCAGCGTAATCAACGAAATCACATACATCATCACAAACATCACCATCAGACATAACAACACAAACGACGGCATCATCATCGTCATCATCCTCATCATCGTCGTCGTCATCTTCATCAGCAGCATCACCAACATCAGCAGCATTGGCACCAGCATAATCAGCATCCGCATCTGCATCAGCATCATCATCATCCGCATCATCAGCATCGTAAGCAATAGCTCCATCACCATTAGCATCAGCCTCAGCAGCATCATCACCAGCATCAGCGTCATCATCATCAGCATCAGCTTCGTCACCCTCATCTGCATCATTAGCAGCAGCAGCAGCAGCATCATCATGATAGTCATTATCAGCAGCGTCATCATCACCATCATCGTCATCATCGCAAGCGACATCATCACCATTATCAGCATCATCAGCACCGTCAGCATCATCATCACCATTATCATCGTCATCAACATCAGCATCATCATCATCATCGTCACCCTCATCTTCAGCATCAGCATCAGCATCATAATGATAATCATCAGCAGCATCATCACCAGCATCGTCATCATCATCAGCATCAGCATCATCATCAGTACCATTATCATCATCAGCATCATCATCAGCATCATCATTAGCATCATCGTCGTCATCGTCAGCAGCAGCAGCAGCATGGTCCTCGTCGACGTCGCCACCTTGGTCGCCGCCGCCGCCGTCGTCAACTGGTATTCCTTCTCCTCCTCTTCCTCCTTCTCCTCCTTGTATTTCTCTTCCCCCTGATCCGTTGTCATGTTCCTCCCAGCCGAGGGCCTCCCACTCGTAGACCGAGCGCGGAACGCTCTTCATCTTCGGCTTCTCGCCCTCCTCGGGCGCCGGGGACCAGGGAGGGAGAAAGAAGGAGCGAGGAGGGAGGTGTGCAGGTAGGCAGACTGAAGGTGAGGACGGAGAAGGGAGGAAGGCTGTGGGGGAAGAGGGAGAAGGGGCAGACGAGGAAGGGGAGGGGAGGGGAGGGAGGGGATGGAGAGGAGGCAGACGTGTGTGAGGCGGCGAGAGGGGGGGGGGGGGGCAGACGAGGGAGGGGAGGGAGAGGAGGGGCAGAGGAGGGAGGGGACGCAGGCCCGAGCAAGGAGGAAGGAAAGGGGCGGAGGGGGGGAGGGCCCACCACCTCGGCCCACCTCCCCCGAACTCCCAGCCCTCCCGAAGATCACAAAAACAACGAAGCGGCAAAGGAAACGTCTGCTTCGGGCGCCTCTCGCGGCTACGCAGAAACCCTCTCCGTCACATCGGCGCCCGACCGCCCCGCATCCTGGCCGCCAACCTCACCTCAGCCTTGCCCTTGCCGTCTCCCCATCCTTCCCCCTCGCCCGTGCCCGTGAGTAGCCAAAACCGCACACGCCCGTCGGGAGCTCCCAGACCCCTCCCAGCGCCTCTCGTCGGGCGTCTCCTGGGCCGCCCTGCCCTCGGAGGCCGTCCCAACTGGGCTGGAGCACGTGGGGTCGGAAGATCGCACCGCATCGCCGAAGCATCGGCGGTGTCGGGAATGAAATATTAAGATCTAGACCGTGCCGTATAGCCTGGGTAATCCTCGGGCCTCACCTCCTCGGGCCCCGCTTGAGCGGCCTGAAGCCCTACGCCCTCCCCCCCCACCTCCTGGAGCCCTTCCCTCCCTCCCGATTCCCACATCCCCACATTCCCTTTCGCCCCCTTACCCTGCCATCCGCTCCCACCCCCTACCCCCACTTCCCCTCCTGGATCTCCCCTTCGCCTCCCTCCCCCCTTTTCCCTGGACTCACTGCGCCTCCCTCTCCTCACAGGGGAGCTTAAAGACACTGAGCACTGTTGTTCTATCGTGTATTATCAGAGTGAAAGGGGGCCGCACGGTCATTCACTATACCTGGGTGCGTGGCTGAAGTGGGATTCCGCGATGCGCATTATTGTTGTTATTGTTGTTTCTGTTATTGTTTGACGTCGTCCCCCTCGCGACTCGGCCCGCGATCCACTCCACGACCCGCCCGCGACCCACGCGCGACCCACCCGCGACCCACCACCCGACCCGCCCGCGACTCACGCGCGACCCACCCCCCGAACCGCCCGCGACCCACCCGCGACCCACCCCGCGACCCACCCGCGACCCACCCCGCGACCCACCCCGCGACCCGCCCGCGAACCACCCGCGACCCACCCGCGACCCCGCCCGTGAACCACGCCGCGACCCACCCACATCGCTTTAACGAAAAATCAGCGCCTGCGGCGGGCTCGTTGTATAATTTAAATGCCTGCGGCGGACATCTTCAGAACCTCGCAGGCTGCCGACGTCCCCGCCGCCCCCTCACTCTTCTCCGCGACTGCGGGGTGCTACGTATCGGGTAAGAAAACGGTCGTCACCCGAGGGGGTGGGATGGGAGTTTGGGCTCCGGGAAAAATAATCCGTACGCGCGGTGGGACATGTCGGGACGGGAGTGCGCTGCGAGCGATCGCCACAGAATGCGCTCGAGCACCAATCTGTGGGCGGGGTCCAGCCCTCCCCCCACGTAGAATTACTACCGTTACCCAATAGAATGTAGGGGGGTTGGCCAGGGTAACGACCGTTACGCGCTGGAGGGCAAAGGGCAATCTCCCGATTGATCTACTGCCCGGAGCTCTCCATTGGTGCGCTGACCAGGATTCTGAAGCGAATGCGGCCGTGGCGACGAGGAATAGGCAGCGGCAGAAATTCTCGCCCTCCCCTCCCTTTCCCCTCCTCCCCCGTGACAGGGCGGGTAGTAAAGGAGGGGTTGGCGAATCAGCTCACGTGGCAGGTTTTCCAAGCGCCTCCAGGCGCCAGATGTGCCGTGCATCGAAGAGCGCGGCTGGAGGCAGGGACGAAATCAGCAGCACGCAGCAGATTCCGTGCCGCCCCTTTCCCTTTCCCAGTCGCCCGTTTGGGTGACCTTCGTCGTCTGCATTTCGGGTCAGAACTTCAGCCTGGGACGATTCGGCACCTCCTGCCGACGAAAACGTGCCATACATTCTAGCCTCCGCTTTGGCAACGCCACCCCTCCGCCATATCCCCCCGCTACCGTCCGCGATCCGAGCCTCCACCCACCCTGGGGCCCCCACACAGGGCCACACGCCCCCCAAATGAGGTCCGAGTTGACGGGGTGGAAGAATCGCGCCGCATCGCCGATGCATCGCCGACGCATGGCTGATACATCGGCGACGTCGGCAATGCACGGGCGACCTCGGCGTGGAGAAAAAAAGGGCTCCCCATCGAGCCGCGTCGGCGATGCATCGGTGAAGCGACGCGGTCAGGACCCTGGAGGAGCCCGCCGCCGCCCGAATCGCGGGTGCCCACGAGGTTCGCAAATCATGGCCCGCGGCACGTGCGCGGCCCAGGGGTAACCGGGGGCACGTGCTGAAAGAAGAGGGGGGGAAGCATGAGATCCCGAGAGATGTCGTGGCCCTGGCCATGACATCCATCCCCCCGCGTCCTGGGTCATCACCCCCCTCTTGGCCGCCCCAGGCCGACCGGACCCTCCGCCCTCCCCAGGCCCTGCCCACCCCCCGCGGCCCCGCCGCCGCCCGAAGGGCCCCCCCCCCTCACTCAGGGCCAGGGCCCGCGGCACGCAGTCCTTCGGCGGCGGCGCCGACTCGTCGACCACCTGCAGCAGAGATGCGCCGGGGGCCGCGCAGGGCGTGCAGGCCCACGGAGGGCTCGGGCGAGGGGGGTTACTTGCGCGCTCTCCCTCTCTCTCTCTCTCGCTCTCTCTCTCTCTCTCTCTCTTCCTGTCGGCCGCACGCAAGAGTGACCGACCCTGGGCAAGAGGTAGCCTTTGAGGTGCGCGTTTGACCTGAGACGTCCTTACCATTTATGCGTTGGCGACGGCAGCGGCAGTCCCGCGGAGTTCCAGGGTGAGTTGTTTCGGTTCCTGGGTGTCTGCCTTGACTCTGATGCCAACCCGTTTGCCGTTTGCCCCGTACGGACAGCACCAAACGCGTTGTGCTTGGTGGATGTGTCGCACGCGAGAGAAGGAAGAAAAAGAGATAGAGCGAGAGAGGTCGCCCAGGGCTCGCAGCCAAGCTTTCGGCAGAGACGACGACGACGACGACGACGACGACGACGGCGACGACGACGACGACGACGACGACGACGACGACGACGACGACGACAACGACGACGACGACGACGACGACGACAACGAGGACAACGAGGACTACGACAAAGACGACGCCAACGACGACGACGAGGACAACGAGGACGACGACAACCACGACGGCCACAACCACGACCACGACTAAAACAATCACCATGACCACCACGACGACGACGACGACGACGACGACGACGACGACGACGAACACGACGACGAACACGACGACGGCGACGGGAGCGGAAGCGAAGACGACGAAGGGAAGGAAGAGTCGGTGTATGAGGCACTAGGTTCGTTTCTGGGCCTCTAGAGGCCTCTGCAGGGCACATCCACAGGCCAAGTGGGAACTCCGATGGTGGGATGCCTGGTCGTACTGGACCTTCTCGTTCCAGAGCTCGATCGGGAACGTGATGAACTCGCTGTACTTCTTCAGCAAGTCAGACAACTTGCCTGTGTCCAGGTACTCCTGAAAGTCCCCCCCATCATCATTATCGCAATCCTCGCAACGTATCGGGTCTCTCTCACCCTGGACTCCATCATCCTCGTGGCCTTCAACAACCGGGCGCACGCTAGCATGGATTACGAATCCGTGGATCTGGGGAGCGTAACCCCCGAAGCACGATCGGGTAGCGTAACCCCCGAAGCACGGCGCCAATGCCGCCCGATCAGGACGGAAATGCGACCCGTCGCTAATCCACACGCCTTACTCCACGTTTGTGCTTCCTCGAATTTAGTAGGAGGAGGAGGACGAGGAGGAGGAGGGGAGGAGCCGCGCAAACGAGGAGCCTCCATCCAAACTCCACCTTTGAACCTCCGATTAGAAGAAAGATCGGAGGGCTCACTCCAGGAGAGGTGAGCCGAGGTGGGTCTCTGCTTCCCCCAGGGAGGCTGGGGCCCATGCTCGTGCCAACTCCCCATGAGCACGCCAGCCGCCACAAGCAGGAACCTGAATACCTCTAGTGCCGTGTCCTCCGTTCGGGCGTCCCGTCTTCTCGTTCTCTCTTTTTTTATTTCTCTCTCTCTCTCTCTCTCTCTCTCCTTACATCTTGGCATTTCCCAATCATCCTGCGGTGTTGGGTCCTCGTTCTGGAGACGGTCCCCGCGTTCTCCTCCCGCATCCTTCCTCCCTCCTCCCCCCTCCTCACTCCTCCCTGCGTTCCCCCCCACCCAGTGCAACGCTTCGTGGCCCCATAGGGAGCTCCACCGAAGGCCCCAGTGGGGGTGGCCACATACGTCCCGGAAGCCCAATTTTGCACACCCTTCAAACTTTTCGTGACCCCATAGGGAGCTCCACCGAAGGCCCCAGTCCCACCGTCCGCATGCGTCACGAAAACCAACTTGGCATTTTCACCCACCCAGTACGACGCGTCGTGGCCCCATAGGGAGCTCCACCGAAGCCCCCAGTGGGACCGCCCGCATGCGTCCCGAAAACCCAATTTGACATTTTCACTTACCCAGTACAGCGCTTCGTGGCTCCATAGGAGCTACACCGAAGCCCCCAGTGGGACCGCCCGCACGCGTCCCACACACCCAATTTGGCATCTTCACCTACCCAGTACAGCGCTTCGTGGCTCCATAGGAGCTCCACCGAAGCCCCCAGTGGGACCGCCCGCATGCGTCCCCCCCCCACACACACACACACACACACACACACACACACACACACACACACACACACACACACACACACACACACACACACACACACACACACACACACACACACTTTAGCATTTCAACCCACCCAGTAAAGCGCTTCGTGGCTCCATAGGGAACTCCACCGACGGCCTCAGTGGTACCGCCCGCATGCGTTCCCCCCAACCAGTGCAGCGCTTCGTGGATCCATTGGGAGCTTCACCAAAGAAGATATTCAAAATTGCCGTATCCACAACTGCATATGGCTGGGTCCTTCGCCAAGATATTTTCGTCCCTCCCCCCAGCGACCGCCGGTAGGGAGGGGCCGCATCCCCCTGGACGGAACCAAAAATGTCCGCAGGAGGACGAGGATCGACGATCCTGCCCTCCTCCTCCTCCTCCTCCTCCTCCTCCTCCTCCTCCTCCTCCTGCGATGCTCTCCTCGGCCATCGGGCGCGAGCTGGCGCCACCCGCCGGGGGAGCCCGGGAGCCCCGGCGGCGGCCAAGGCAGAGGCCGGCGCCCCGTCCTGCGCCTCCTCCCGCAGGTGCAGGATCAGCTTGGTGCCGCTCTGCTCCCCGAAGAACTCCTCCCGCATCGCGGTGCAGCGGTAGAGGAGGAGGTTTCGGGCTCGAGGTTTGAGGTCCGAGGTGTTCAGAAGTTCTCGTCGGTTCTCGGCGGTCTTGCAGACTCGGGACGGCTTCCAGCAGCTGGGCCCCGCCGGGAGCGTTCCTGGGTGCCCGAATCGTCCCGAACGGCCGCTGGAAAGCCGAGCTATGACCCGAACGCCAGGGGTACTGGCTCAGGGAGGGGGGGGAAAATCAAGCTGGAATCGGCGATAGACTGGCAATAGGCCCTCGATATCAAATCCGAACGCTCCTGGGAGGGGTAGGCTGTCAGGTCCCCTATCTGCGATCAATGGCCGATTGGGGGTCGATGCATCCCCCCCTGACCCGAAGTATCCCCCCTGACGTTGCCCCGTGGTTTTCGGGCCATAACTCTGCTCTCGACGAGGCGCAGCTGCTGGAATGCATTCCGAGACTGGCAAACGGGCCAGAACTGGCGTCAACCTCAGAACACATCTGAAAACCTCGAACCTCGAGCCTCATGAACCGTACATCCCCCTAACATCGTCCTTGACCTACTCATGAGAGTCCTGGCATCGCGGTAGGGTCACACCAGGGCGTCGTCGCACAGTTTTTCGGGACGCGGGAAGCCCCTTGCAGATCGGCCCGGCTCGAGATATGCAGCGAAAGAATGAGGTCTTCAGGCGTGATTGCCCATGACAATGAATGTGTTTCACGACGTCGGATCTCAGAGAACTCCTCCTCCTCTTCCTCCTCCTCCTGCTCCTCCTGCTCCTCCTCCTCCTCCTCCGCCTCCGCCTCCGCCTCCGCCTCCGCCTCCGCCTCCTCCTCCTCTTCCTCCTCCTCCTCTTCCTCCTCCTCCTCCTCCTCCTCCTCCCTCGCAGCCTCCATCCCTCCTCCTCCTCCTCCTCCTCCTATTTTCCTCCTCCTCAATCCTCCTCAATCCTCTTCAATCCTCCTCCTCCTCCTCCTCCTCCTCCTCCCCTCCCTTCCTCCCCTCCCTCCTCCTCCTCCTCCTCCGCCTCCTCCGCCTCCTCCTCCTCCTATTCCTCCTCCTCCTCCTTTTTTTCCTCCCCTTCCTCCTCCTCCACGTCCTCTTCCACGTCCTCCTCCTCCACGTCCTCCCCCATCCCCCATCCTTAATTACAAAGCCGCCACCGTGTCACTGTGTCGTGTGCACGTTGAGCCGTGGAAGAACGCCAAGGTCTGTCTGGTAGGGCTTGCATGCACTAATCAAGAATATCCCCCTCTACTCGCGTGATCCGCGTGCATCCCCCCGCACACACCCTCCCGAGGTAACAATCCATCGCTGAAAAAACGGGGGCCCGTTTTCTTGAGGCCACGAGCTCGTTCCTTGACGAACGCCCGCACCGTTTCTCTGGGGTTTCACACTTCCGCACGGGGCTCCGGGCGGATCGGCAGGCCCGCGGGGCGCTCGTCTCTCCAGGGCGGGGGCGAGGCACTGCCCGCACGGCAGGCGGGCGCCTTGGCACGGACCTCCGCAGATCGGGGGCTCGAGGCGGCAGCCCCCCGGGGGCCCCCTGCGCAGAGGCCCGTGGCAGCGGCAGCGCCACGGGGCCCGCCGGAGCAGTGCCGCCATCGGGGCCACCCCGAGGCCACCACAGGCGACCAACGAGGGTCTCCCCCAGCGCCAGGGCGTAGTGTCTCTTGTCCTCCTCCTCCGCCTCTTTCACTTCATCCTGCTCCTCCTCATCCTCCGCCTCCTCCTTGTCGCACCCCCAGGCGTGTCGGCAGGGCGGGCTGGACGTTTCGCAGGAATCTTCTCCAACAGTTACGACCCAGGAGCTTCGAAATTGCAACAGCTTCACAGAGGGCGGGTGACTTTCCAAATGTACTTTCGCCTTCATAGACATCAACATCAACTTCACGGGCTCCTTTTCAGAATGCGGATCTCCCCTTAGCGCCGCGCACATTCGCCTCAAAGCCTGCAACAGACTCAAGGAAAGAGGGCCCGTCCTTGTTAAAATGCGGCTCTCGTCTGAGCGCCGTGCACATTCGTCTTAGAGTTTGCAGCAATTTCGAGGTTTCGTATGGTTGAAGTCTCAGGGATGGCGTCCTGGCACGATTCGGATTGTCGACACGCAACAGTTAGGTTGAATCGTGGTGCTGAAGTCCCAGGAACGGTGTACTGGCACCCTTGAGGATTGCCATAGCGCAGCAATCACGCAGACTCACGGTGTTCAGCTCCCAGGAACAACGCCTTGGTACGATTGACGATACTCAGGCCGCTAGCTTCAAGCGGGGCACTTACCGCAATGAAGAAAACTTGCGGGGACCAATGAAGCAGGAAATTGGAGGGAGAAAGTATCGTTTCACTGTTGATGCGTCTTGGGTTTACGCTGGTCCTCCTCCTCCTCCTCCTCCTCCTCCTCCTCCTCCTCCTCCCACCCCCCGCCTCCTGCCGCACTACTCCTCCCCGCCTCGGCAGGCACTCCTCGTCGGGGGAGGGCTGGATGGTGAACTCGCTGCCCTCGGAGATCCACCTCCAGGCCTTGCGGTCTTCCTCGCTGTCCTGGGGGGTAGGGCCGCCGGCGGCCGCGAGACAGAGGGGGGGCAGGAGACATGAGCAAGCAGAAGGACAATCCTCCTCCTACTCCTGCCCCCTGCTGCTGCTGCTGCTCCTGCTCCTCCTGCACCGGTTCCTTCTCGTCCTTATCCTGCTCCCCCCTTCTTCCTACTACTTGGCCTCCTCCTCCTCATCATCAGCATCGTCATCATCATCATCATCATCATCATCATCATCATCATCATCCTCATCATCAGCATCAGCATCATTATCAGCAACATCATCATCATCATCATCATCATCATCATCATCATCAGCATCATCATCATCGTTATCATCAGCAGCATCGTCATCATCAGCATCATCACCATCATCACCACCAGCATCATCAACAGCATCATCTGCATCAGCATCAGCATTAGCATCAGCATCGGCATCATCATCAGCAGCATCATCGGAAGCATGGTCATCATCAGCAGCAGCATCAGCATCGTCATCGTTGTCATCAGAATCACCACCATCACCATGACAATCACCATCACCATCACAATCACCATCACACCACCCTCATCAGCATCATCATCGTAACCAGCATCATCAGCAGCATCATCGGAAGCATGATCATCATCAGCAGCAGCAGCACCAGCACCATCGTCATTATCATCAGTATCATCATCAGCATCATCAGCATCATCAGCTGCATCGTCATCACCATCATCGGCATCGTCATCATCATCATCAGCATCATCAGCATCGTCATCAGCAGCAGCACCAGCATCATAATCGCCATCGTTATCATCGTCATCCCCATCAGCAGCATCATCAACAGCACCCTCACCATAATCGTCATCATCTTTACCGTCATCATCATCATCATCATCATCATCATCATCATCATCAGCATCATCAACAGCAGCATGTTCACCATCATCCACATCATCATCAGCAGCATCAGCACCAGAGTCATCATCGTTATCATCATCAATCAGGATCGGCGTCACCATCCTCATCATCATCAGCAGCATCACTATCATCATCACCAGTATCATCATTCTAGGCATGAGCACTAGCATCATCATCAGCATAATCATCATCCTCCTCATAATCAGCATCGTAATCAGCACCAGCATCACAGTAGCATCATCAGTATCATCATCTTCATCATCATCAGCCTCAGCATCATCAACCACATCAGTAGCATCATCGTCGTCGTCATCATCGTCAGCGGCAGTATCATCATCATCATCAGCATCAGCGCCAGCATCAGTATCATCATCGTCATCGCCATCAGCAGCATCATCAACTGCACCCTCACAATCATCGTTATCATGATCAGCATCATCACCTACATCATCATCATTGTCCTCAGCGACATCAACATTATAAACATCAACACGATTAGCATCATCATCGTCGTCGGCATCGTCATCGTCATCGCCTTCGTCATCGTCATCATCGTCGACGCCATCATCATCGTCATGATCGTCATCATGATCATGATCATCAGCATTACCTTCAGTATCAACATGACAATCACCATTATCAACATCATCGTCGTCATCAGCATAGCCGTCATCACCATCATCATCATGATCACCCTAATCAGCAACATTACCATCACCACCATCATCACCATCATCATCAGCATCAGCATCGTCATCAGCATCGTCATCGGAATCATTATCATCGAAATTAGCATCTCATCATCATCAGCAGCATCATCATCGTCAGTATCAGCATCATCAGCAGAATCGTCATCATCAGCATCATCCTCGTCCTCATCCTCATCACACCTCGGAAGTGGGGCGCGGGAAAAGAGGACGAATAGGGAGAGGTGACAAGGCTTGGGTCTGCACACAAAAGGACCCAGGAGGTAGCCAAGGCTGGCCTCGACGAAGAACACGAGAACTGACGCCAGTTAGTACCTAAGTGTCGCCGGGCGAGCGCATTCGGCTCGGCACCGAGGACGGCGACGATGAGCATCGAACGGCTCCCTGCTCCTCCTTCACCTCCATCTCCTCGTCCCCCTCCGCTTACTCCTCCTCCTCTTCCTCCTCCTCCTCATCATCATCATCAACATGATCATCATCATTAGCATCAGCATCATCATCACCATCAGTATCATCATCATCATTATCATCATCATCACCATCCATCATCAGCAGCATCGTCATCAGCATCAGCATCACCATCAACATCATCTTCGGCATCGTCATCATCAGCATCATCATCCTCATCCTCATCATCCGCTTCCTATTTCTCATCCTCCACTATCATCAGCATCAGCAGCAGCATCTTGAGCAATACTCCCTTTTCCTCCTGCCACCTCCCTCCTCCCTACTGCTCCTTCCTCCTCGCTCCTCCCGACTGCTCTTCCCTCCCTCCATCCGAACCCTCATCCTCCCTCCTCATCCTCCTCCTCCTGCTCCTCCTGCTCCTCCTGCTCCTCCTGCTCCTCCTGCTATCTCCTTGGTCTCCGTCCTTCCTCATCTTCCTTCCCTCCCCAAGAGAAGTCAGCATCGGGTCGGGAAATCGGCTCGGATCGGAGCGCGCGTCATGACGGGCCACATGGGCACGGAGTCGAAACCGAACCGGATCGGTTGCGCCAAGATGCGCAGTCGAGCCGTGCAAGCATCAGGCCGAACTGATCGTCGGAGAGTCGAATCACATCGACTGGAATCGGGATCAAACAGGACCGATGGCATCGAGACTGACCCTTTCATGGCGACAGCATCGCATATACCACCCCGTCCCGTAAAGGGCGGGACTAGGTGAAGGAAAGCTACATCAAGCTAACCTTTCGAAGGTCCGAGCGGATTTCTTGGATTGGCGCCAGATCCCCCCTGGCGCGCACCGCGCACCAGGAGGGTGACCCGGCACCGACCCAAGAAATCCACACCAACATCCGAACGTGCGTGCCGGTGCAAGTGTTCCATCCCCGGCGCATGACCCCTCTTCTTCAGGGCGACCTCCCAGGCCAGAAAGCGCCTCAGCCAGTCAGCCAGGCAGAGCGCAAACCGCTGCATCTGTGCAAAACGGCCTGCGCCCGACGAGCAACGGGAGCGACCCCAGCGCCGACGGCCGGGACCAGAGGGGAGGCTCAACTCCCGTGGGCCCGGGGGGCTGCGGTGCCGGAGCCGCCAAGAGACGAGCGGTGGCGGCCCCTCTGGACAGATCCCGCCGATGAGGGGGAACGATGAGAGTGACCAGCTCAGGGGGTTGGTGGCGACGTCCGAAATTTACCCCCACCAAGCGTTGATTCTGTTGAATCGATGGGAGCCGGGCGCACGGTTCGGATTTCGCCACGTGCTCGACGAATTCCCAAACCTCTCATCGAGCTGCCCGAATTGTTTGTCGGAGAGGGTAGGGTTCGGACTTCGCCGCCGATAGCCCCCAGTGGCGAATCTGGACGCTCCTGGGCAGGGTGTGCTATCGGGCCCCCATCGGCGATGAGTGGGCGATTGGAGGCCGATGTTTCCCCCTGAGCATCTCCCCCCCTCCCCCACCCAACGTTGCCCCTGATCCGAATGGAAGGCGGGATCCGCCGCCGACCCAGCAAGGTCCGTGGCACGGATCAGGCTCGACCGGCTTCGGCAGCACAACCGACTGTCACTGGGCTGCGGTGCTCCGCCGCGGGCGCCACCGTGAGCGCCGTGAGCGCGCGGCTAACCGCCCACTGAAAGGCCCTGCGCTTTCGACAGGTGCGAGGGGCAACGACAGGGGCGATAGGCGTAAGGGCCTAGGGGGGGGATGCATCGACCTGGAATCGCCGATGCATTACCAATAGATCGGCGATAGGCCCCAGATCGTGGTTCTGCAGGTTCCTGGGCAGGCTTGGGCTATTGGGCCCCTATCAGCGATCAGTTGGCGACGGGGGGCCGATGCATCCCCCCTAACCCCCCTTATCGTTGCCCCTGAGGTCGGCTCGATCGAGACAATGGGCCCCCCCGGGGGGGCCCTCGTCGCCTCGGCCGGGCCCGCCTCGCAGAGCGGGCCCCGAGAGGGCGTCGGCGGACCGGTCTTGAGCGGGCGCGGGCCCGGCGGGAGAGCCGCCATTGCCTCGACCGGACCTCCTCCGACTCGCGGGAGCGGCGCAAATCGGCGCCGGACCGCCACGGCCTAGGGAGTCGCAGTCGGGTCTGGGCCGCCTCTCGAGCCCCGAGGACGGGGGAGAGGGAGAAGGCTGGCAAAATGGCTGGGCGCACAGGGGCGCACCAGGGGGCAGGGCGAGGATAGGCGGCCTCGACTCGGGAGGCCCGCTGCTTTCCAGGTTGGCACGATGGGGCCCCGGGGGAAGCGGGCCCTGGACCCGCGGGGGAGGACGCGGAGGACGAGGGAAGGAACTCTCCCTGGCAGCAGCCCCCCGGTACGCCGACCTCTGCAGCGCGACCCCTGGCAGCCGCGAGCCAGGCACTCCTCGTCGAAGGGCCCCCCCGCCCCTGCCTTCTCAATCGTCCAGCACCATCCGCCATGCGCCGCAGCGCCGCCCCCGTCGCTGCCGGCTGCCTCGCCCTCGTGGCCCGGGCGTCCGTGGCCGCGGCCCAGGGCGCGCTCACGACGTGGCGGTCCGCGAACGCCACGCCCATGGACACGCACGGCCCGTGCGAGTTCGTGCGGGACCCCATCGGCAGCACGACCGACCCGATGCTCGCCCCGTAACTCCAGCAGGATATGCACGGCTCCGTCGGCCAGGACCCCCCAGCGTACGCGAACGGCGCGGCCTGCGGCGCCTGCTACATGGTCAGGCCCACCAGCGACGAGGGGGCGCACGGCGACTCGACCGGGCACGGCGCGGCGTCCGAGGCCATCGTGACGGTCAGCACGGGCGGCACCAAAGGCGCGGGCCGCTTCGACTGCTTCCCCGGGTCGTTCGAAGCGATCACGGGTGGCATCACGGGCGAGTTCGACGTCGAGTTCGAGGAGGGAGTGTGCGATGCCATCTGGACGACCCCGTCGGTGACCAGCTTCGAGGCGAAGAACCAATACTGCTGCAAGATGGTCTTCAACAGCGTCGGCAAGTGGGGCGCGCTCTCCACGGTGTACGTCGTGGCCGGCGCTGAGCCGGCCCAGCGAATGCCAAGTAAATGTATAATTCGATTTTCTGAATTATATTTAAGTAGTTTCCAATCGCAATTCAGGTGCCCATTCCCGAAGTAAGGGCGGCCAGCCCTCCTTCTTCAGCCCCCTTTCCCGCACTCTACCCCCAGCACGTCGGCGAGCAGTGCGACCGGGAGCAGCACCACGAGGGTGACGAGTACGACCGAGACCAGCAGCAACACTACGCCTAGCACGTCGGCGAGCAGTACGCTTGAGAGCATATCCATGAGCGTGGCGAGCACGACCGAGACCAGCAGCATCACTACGCCCAGCACGTCGGCGAGCAGAACCACCGCCAGCAGCATCACGGTCGGGGCGAGCCTCCCGATTCACCATGCCGATGTGTTCTTTTTCGAACCTGGCCGGGGACGCCCGCCGAGGGCCGCGCGCCAGGCCCGATTCCGACGCGGACCGCGCGAGCCTCGGCCAGCTAGCTGTAGAAGGCCGTGCCCGCCAGGGGCCGCGGCGGCGCCCGCCCCTCCTCCACGGCTGGCCCGCCAGCCATCCGACCAGCTGGCCGGGGTGGGCGGCTCGTCCTGGGCCGCACGCAAGAGCGACCCGAGGCAAGAGCGGCCTTGGGCGCGCGGCCTCCCAGAGGGGCGGGGGGGGGGGGCGGAGGGCGGGAAGGCGCCAAGTCCAATCGCGCCGGCCAGTGATTGGGGGGGCCCCTGCGGGCCCGCTCCAGAGGTCACTCCAGCGAAGGCCCGCTCTTGCGCGCGGCCGACGTCCGGCAAGCTCCAGCGGGCGGCGGCCGCGCCTCCGTCCCAGCGCCAGCCCGCCTCTTCCCTCGAGCTCTGGCTGGCGGTCTCCGCGGGCCACGGCTGGGCGAGGTCCCGCGCGGCGTCGGCAGTGGGAGGAGGCGCCTCGTCTCCCCGCGCCAGCAGGTCGTTCAGTTGCGGGTGGGAGCCCTGCTCCAGGTCAGCACTGCCGTCCCGGTCCGCAGCGCCACCGGGCAGGACGGCCTGAACGCCGTCGTGTGAAACGCGGGGGGGGCCGGCCATGTGGGGCGTGGAGGGAGGATAGGCGGCGCACCCGGCTGGGGAGGAGGCGGCCCTTTTCAAAAGGCTCAAATGGCCTTCCGAGAAGCTTGCTGAGCCTCCTCCGAAGACAGAGGCGGTTCCTTATGAGGCTGGATGGCTCTGGAGAAGCCCCGCCGACTTGTGAGAAGGCCTGCCCTCTCTCACTGACCCCATCGCCCAGAGGAGTCAGGCCAACTGGCTGAGCCGCCCTGGCCAGAAAGGCTTGAGGCATGTCGGCGGCGGCGGTTGCGATTGCGTCGCTCTACGAGTGCATCCATAAGCCCCGATGAGGACGGCCATGAACCCAAGCAAGCAGGCAGTCAAGCAGGCAAGCGGCTTCAACTCAAGACAAAAAATCATTGGAAGGCTTCGCATGGTCCGAACGGGCAATCACATGTCAACTCTACCCCTGAAGGTCAGGTTCCCCCCACCTCCCCGTTGCGCGGCTCCAACGCGGGCTGGGAGGGGAGGGAGCGCGAGGACGATGGGGTGGGGAAATAAGGGGGAGCTGGAGGAAGAACGAAATGCATAAATATAAACTGTCTGAGGTCCGAGCTGTGCTCCGACACTTTATGTTTATGAATGTGATGTCTCCTTCTTCGTCTTCGAGGGGCAGGAAGTGGACTGAAAAGAGCACGGGAATTTGAGGGAACTCATGCCTGGTCCCATCCTTGGGCAGGACCTGCGCTTGACGATTGTTAGGCCTAAGCCCAATCGAATCGCAAGGTCGGGTCGGATCGGAAACGCATCGGGGCGCAAACGGATCGTCCCAAATCGAATCGGAATCGGATCGCCGCGCCTGGCTCTGGCACGCCCAAACCGATGCCAGTAAACCAAAACCAAATCGAATCGGAATCGTAGACGGCCCTTCTTGTTCGACACGCGCGCCGAATTCGAATGGCTGCCATCCCGAGCTCATGGCTGCAACCCCGCCTGTCTCCACGGACTGGACCTCCTAGGGCGCCCTCATCGCCACGGCTCCTCCGTTCCCCCGCCCCAGCTCACACCCTCCCCCATCCCCCCCTCCCTCCTCCCTCCTCGCCACCCTCCTCCCCCTCCTTCCCCGCCTCAACGGACGCCGCTCGACCGCTGCAGGGGCGGCCGGTCCCTGAAGCTCTTGGACACGACCTCTTGGCGCGCGCCGCGCAGCGCGCGGCTCGGGGCGGCTCGGCGCAGTTGGGCCAGCGCGCGGACGGGGGTGGCCCTCCTCCTCCTCCTCTTCCTCCTCCTCCTCCTATTCCTCCCCCTATTCCTCCTCCTATTCCTCCTCCTCCTCCTCCTCCTCCTCCTCCTCCTCCTGCTCGGTGACTCGGTGATGCGGTTTGTATGTTCGCTGGGCACTGAAGCCTTCGAGCTCTCTTCCCCTTACACAAGCTGCGGGGGGAGGGCGAACAAAAACCAGGAGGCAATGGATGGTCGACATGATGATGGATCCCCTTCGGGAACAAGAAAGCCGTGAGTCTGCGGCGGGGCGCGTGCCGGTGTAGCCCGAGCGTAAGCCCCAGCCCCCCTGGGGTGAATGCAAACCCGCCCCCATATCGGCCCAATGTCCTGAGGTCCAACAGGCGTGCGGGGCGGAGGCGTGTGCGACGCAGCGGCACGCAGCGGGAATAGGCGGTGTGGGTAACAGTGCGTGGAATGGTCGTGGGCGCTGAGCGTCGTAACAAGGCGGAACGGCTGCAACGAACCTGCGAGGAGGGTAAGCGCGCTAGGTTGAAAAGAATACGAGGGAGGGGAGGAGGGGGCCCGAGCGGGATCGCCACCTTCCGAGGTGGGGGAGTGGTGCCCCCGTCGGTGTGTCTCTTGTTTCTAAGAGGCTGTGGCCGCACGGTACCTGTGGGCGCTGTATTCCCCAGGGTGGCGAGCGGTGAATGTTCCTAATCGCCCTTCCCTCCGGTGACCAGTGTCCTGGCCCCCTGGCCAAGTCCCTACTCCTGTTCGTGCTGGGTGCTGCGGAAGAGGAAAGTGAAGGTTTGAGGGCGAAAGGCAGGGGGAGGGAGCTGCCAGGGAGGACAGGAGAGGTAGGGAAAGGCCAGGTGAGGGCTTGAGATTCCACAGAGGAGATGAGAAGCGCGTTGCACGTAGAACAAAGATCCGAAGGAGAGGTCGCGGTCCAAGTCGTCCCATCATCATCATCATCATCCTCATCCTCATCCTCATCATCATCATCATCATCAGCATCATAAGTTATCTTCCATCATGTTTCTTCTAACTCTCTCGTCCGTGCCGCCCCCCAATACAACTCTGTAGGGCGGGGCACGCGTTGCGCCTGAGAACTCCTCACCACCGATGACCCTGAAACTTGAGATCGCGGGCCGTTTTCGAAATACCGTCTTCGCCATAGCAACGCGCAAATTCGTCTCAAAAGGTTGCAGGAAATGGGGGCGGGCCGCGCACAAGAGGCTCAAGAAACCCAAGATGGCGCAAGATATCCTCCATCACACATTCACGAGGCCTGAAGACGGCCTCAAAACAGTTCCAAGTGCCGCCCGGACCCTCCAAGGACCCCTCAAAAAAACAAAAATGGGTCAAGACCGAAGACTACTTGATGCGTTGCCTTCTGGCCTTGTCGTTTTCGAAAGGCCTTGGAGGCCTCAAAGTGGCCGCAAGATGGCCAAACAAAAAAACCCAAAAGAAACCCAAGAGGGCCCCAAAACGGCCCCAAGACGGCCAAATAACGCCCCAAGAGCGCCCCAAGGCGGCCCCAAGATGCTATGTTTGAGCTTCCGATGGGTGGGGGCCTGAATTTCTGATAGCCCGTCTCTTTGAACAGTGAGCCCAAGATTGCCCCAAAGGGGCCCCTTATACCCCCCCCCAAGGAGCGTCAAGAGGGCCCCATAGACCCCCCCAAAATAGCCCCGAGAGGGCCCCAAGAGGGGGCCCCAAATGCCTCCGCGAGGACCCTCATAAATACCCAAGATGGTTCCAAGAGACCTCCGGGGAAACACTTCCAAGGCGGTCGTTGCACTGCACGCTTCTACACTCAAGGCATCTCGCCTGGCGTTCAGGTTAAGGATGGGGTGGTCGGTATATGTTTTGGTCAGCGGGCTCGCGAAACAAGCCGAAAGCGGGGCGCGGCAAGGGCGGGCCGCGCCGAAGCAAAGGAACAGACAGCGAGGAGAGCGGCGCCCGGCTCAGAAGCTGGGCGCGGCGCTGCCGAAATGGCGCGGGAAGCATCGCAGACCAGCACCGAGGTCACGCCCACCGAAGTGCCAATCAGAACGCAAGTGGTGAGAGAAGGCGACCACGCGCATGGAAAGTCGGCTGTAGACCACCCCAATACGCACATGGGGATCTGTTTGCACGCGAGCGCGCAGGTGTGCCCGGCGCCGTCAGAGCGAAGCAGCAAGCCACGATCTAAATTAAGCTTCGAGCGCGCAGAAGCGACCTACGCTGCAACTCAGAAGGCAAAGAGGACCATGAAGAGCACCAAGTCCACGCGCAACGCCAAAATGGCGACGAGCGAGAGGCCGGCGTACTCGAAGACCACCGTCGCGTAGTCGAGGAAAACGAAGGCGGGCGTGGAGGCGCCCCACGGAAAAAGTCCGGATCGCCAGGGGGGAGGCCAGGAAACCCACGTGCGCGAGGACGACGAATTGGGGCGCGAGAGAGGAAGCGCGGCGGCGGAAGCGGCCACGGCGGGGGAGCAGCACATGGGGATATCTTTTTAGTCAGCGGCCGCGGGCGAGCGCGCCGGCGGCGGGTCCAGTCAAAGCGGGGCACGCAGCGACGAATTAACCTAAAGCGACGGAGGGTGGCCACACCTACGGGGGCTACCCGAGCCCTCACGCAGCAGCTCAGCGGCGGACCGGCGAGCGGGGGGGCAGCTGAAACTGAGTCGCACTGCCGGCGCGCAAGTATGCAAAGCGCGGGGGCTCCGGAGAGTCGGGGCACACGACGACCTGGGCCAGAAGTCGAAATGAATGCAAGGACGCAACCCCGGACAACTGCGTGAGTACCAGGGTGGCCCGAAGGACCGTCGGTCAAATAATTAAATCAGGGAGGCGAGAGCGTTGGCGGGCTGCCAAATCCCAGGGCGGCCGTAGCCGCGTAGTCCCGAGGCAGGAAAACGCGCGGGCGCGGGAAGCAGCAAAGCTGCCACGCAGCCAAAAGGGCGCGGGTCACCACGGACCAATGCGTGAGGTGGCGCCAGGCTGACCCACCACGAGCCC